ATATATATACTCACACACACTCAACCACGCATCCATCTACACTCACCCACATACGCATACACAGACACAGACACAGACACAGACATGGACACAGAAACAGACATATATATATATATATAGCGCCAAATTCAAATATATCTAGATAAGAAACTACTTCGTTACATAAACCCCTTTATATGATACAAATATATCAGTATTTCCAAAAATGTTGACATACGTGTAAGAAGTTTATCTATATGTGAAGGATGAATATACTGCTACGAATATTTAGCAAAAGTGATCCGTTAGGATTTACTCATACCCAGATGTATACACTTATACATCTACGCAATATCGCACAATATAGTTCTGCAAGAAGTTTTCATGCCGAGAGTATATGACGTAAACACATCTGTTAGTGAATCATAATAGTTATATACAAAGCCCCTTGAAACGCATTTTCGTCATCGTAGTGACATACGATTATACTCATACACCGACAAGTAATTTAGACATATTTGTCTATATTTCCCACCGGTTCCAACGGGCATCAATTGTATGTCACAAAAAAGTCTCCATAATCAGAGTGCACTTACCTCATCTAGGACCGTTTGCAGGATGATGATGTTGGTTATATTTGCGTGCTCCAATAGATCAATTTGATGCAGAACAACGTTTGTATCCGGCAGTATGTAGTGAAAGAATTTGAACTTCTGAGATTGCGATTCAGCGCTAGGTGTGGCCTGCAGTGGCTTCTCGTCGCCACCACACTTTACACAATGCTCAGCCCCACACCAGACGTCATCGCGCATATAATGCTCTCTATGGACCTTCACCACATTTCCTTTGCGCGTCTTCTTAACGAAAGTTTTAGACTTCAACATGGTGAATGAAGTCTGTACTATATTATGGGAAGATATGAGCGTTTCGTTGAGATGTATACTAAAAATCGGATCAAATAGAAGTATCTATCACAGATTCTGCCACTAAATCATAAAAGCAAAAAGGGCGGGTGATTTGAAATTTCGGATCATTTTGATAGTGGTGGTACACGTGCAGACAAACCTGCTGAAAGTTACTTGACCTATTAAAAAGTACAGCCCATTAGGTGAATTACTGTGTTCATCTCTAGATAGAGAGACTCCCAGCAGTGGCGTGTTAAACGCAGTTGCGTCTCAACGGGAAAGTCAACACTGATAAAACAGACAAGGGGCAAGATTAGTGAACATGAGCAGTATCAGCTGTATACGTCATCATTAAAGTAGCCACTACTCAGGAAACACGAATTGACGACGATAAGGCGACACTGACACACTCGTAGTTTCAATGGATTTAAGTATCCCGACAAATCACTTAAATAAGTCACAACTTATTCAAAATATATTGCCCTGTTTTTGAATTTTAACCATAGTATTGTTGGGGAACAACGTTACTGACGAGCTTCTATTAATCACCAAAAAACAATTTCTATAATTCACGCAAGCAACATTATTGTGATAGGGAGATTGCAACATCGTACTGTGATAGGGAGATCGCAACATCGTACTGTGATAGGGAGATTGCAACATCGTACTGTGATAGGGAGATCGCAACATCGTACTGTGATAGGGAGATTGCAACATCGTACTGTGATAGGGAGATCGCAACATCGTACTGTGATAGGGAGATCGCAACATCGTACTGTGATAGGGAGATCTGGGGAACATCATGAACCTGCGGTTCGTTCAATCAGATTACACCTTATAGTGGTGCGGAATCGGATGCCATTTCAAAAAATAAATTAGTAGGCTAATCTTGTGACTTGGCGTTACCGCCATTTATAGATTCTATATCCGATCAACTCTAGCCCCTGAGTACTCGCATGAAGGGAATGTCGATTATTATGGTGCCGACATACCTCAAAACAGAAGAGTTATATATATGTAAAGTCATGTATGTTCGAAGTCTTCAAACAGAGCGATTGTAAATTATGATTTCTAATGCGCTTAAAAACACCCGTCGTAATATTTAAAAGCGGATAGTGCCAATTAGATTGGTCAAACGTGCATAGTAGTTGTGCGCGGGATGGTAATCGTATAGCTGGAAGATCAGTATGCTTGACATTTGACAACCTAAAAGCTGGAGTTCGAGTCGGCAGAGACCGTGATTTCAATATTCCTGAGAGATAGATTTATATCCTTTCTTCGACACGATTGTCAATGATTGCACTGTCCGTAATCTAGCGATTGTCACCACAACGTATAGCTACCGCTCGAATAAAGCTGAACATATGCAAGCAGCTGTGGCCTAGCAAATGTGTGTTTGATGCAACATTGATGTTCCGCACTGAGAGTACAATCCTACGTATCACTAAAATGAGATTTCACTCGGACAGCATGTATTGTCTTGCTCAATGCAAAGATAAGCGGATGGATGACGAAGAACTTTTCAGAGAATATATGACGAACAACTGAGGAGCTTCGAAGGAATGCTCACATATTGGCACAAAATCACCGGCGGGGAACAATGTGATTGGTATTAGTGTTTTCAATTTGTTATGCTACCTAAATGATATCTATTCACAACATGCGATAACCTCAGTTTAAAGCTTGTACAGCGACGAAGGAATCAATTTATAACTTTTTAATCCAGTTCGTCGTGGGTCTAGAGTCAACTTGTTCACTATTGCATCACACCGGAACAAAAACATTCCCGTATTGGGGTTGTCGTGCGTCGTATTATACTCCTGAAAGTAGCGAAGTGGTATCTTGTATTTGACGTGCAAATCTCACCAGGGGTAAATGCCTTTCAAAAGTAAGAATCGCAGACGAAGAACAACAATCTCAAGGTAAAACCGATATTAACAAATAGGAACAGGAGGGTTAGATAGAATGGTATAAAGTATTCCCAGATTGACGAGGCCGAAGCTATAAGTATTTATATTTTAGTAAACGACACCCTT